AACAAATAAAAACTATTTCCAAATACCCCGAGCCTTATCAGCTAGCCACACCCTTACAAAAAAGGACCCTACCGGGGAGACTCTAAGTTACACACAGACCAAACACTACGGTAGCCTAATTTTTCGAAAAGGGATTGAGGGATTGGGGTATGTTACAGTATCCCTAAGGGTCCAAAGGATCCAATAATTAGGTACTCAATTTTCGGGTAGTAGTTATGTAGGTTATTATCTTGGAGAGTACATGATAATCAGGCACTTGGACCCTCAGGGCATGGTAAGAAACCCTAAAGGAATGGCATTGGTACTATTTCGGGCTTCCGTACTCGGGGAGTCTTTGCGCCACAGGCTGGAAACCCTCAACGATGTCAGGAGTTTGGGAGTCGGCAGGGCCTCAGACATCTGTGGGTGCGGTTTAGGGGTTTAGGGTTCGAGGTGCTATAGGGGCCTTGATAATTCGACTAGGGATTTGGGATTTTTATACTATATGACTATAACCAGGAACCCAAAATAGCATAATTGGGTAATTATGAAGACCTCTATATTACACATAGCTATGAACACTACATTTACGCAATGACAATCCGATTATGCCATTTGGGGAACCAGATCCCCATAATGGTCCATCCGGAACTGGCAAATCATGAAACCCAAAATATTCTCCAGGTTTTCTTTGCCTGAGAGGTGTCTTGCATCTGCCCAGACCGCGGCCTCTTGCGTTGCGCGTGAGCAAAACGGCATTGGCATCACATGCGGCACCTGCATCGTGGCTAGAACGGCCAGGAGAAAGGACCAAGGCCAATGCATCCCAATCCGGCTTGTGCTGACGTCGGAAGCGTCGAGCGAACTTCTCCGTCCCCGGCAATGGCGAGCCATTGGACGACGAAGGCGATGGAGCACCAGAACCCATGGTCGTGCTGGTCTTGCTCTTCTCGCTAGAACACATGGCCGAGACAGTCAACGAATGCTCAGATCTTGTCAGGGGCGGGCTGCTATGGGCCGACACATGCCGGAAGGTTCCAAAGTATCTATATGGCCGAATGTCAGGCTTCTACATTAGGAATTACTATTATGATTTGGGGAAGTATCCCCCGTAACAGTACCTAGGAGCCATTGGGAGCCCCTAGAGCTGAAACCATGAAAACTACAGCTGTCGACTGCGGCATCGAAGGCGCTGTGCGCGGGATCCATTGCTGGTCGCGAGCGCCAGTGCCAGCAAACACAGGCCTGAAAGCCTTAGTACGATCCGATTGATAAGGGTCCAAGTACATGTTCTCCACACACTCACCTACAAAACTGCCATCCACATCCTCAACCCAGTACATGTACTTGGACCCGTGAGGTTAAGGTTTTCGTGTTCGCGCTTCGCTTTAATTAGGGAGGATCGAACGCCTCTTCGTCTGACTTTCTTCGCTCACTCCCTACTTTTCGATTGTTCACGATTTCCTAGATTCTAGATATTCTGCATATTCTAAAATCATAGGCATGAAGCGGAATTTAGAAGATCTAGATCCTCTAGGTTCTGATCTATATCGACTACAAACACTTACTTTTTATGGCTTAGTTTTACGACTCAGTTAATGTTTAATTAAGTTACTTGTACACACACACACACACACACGCTCACCATGGAAATTCCTTATTTGACCCTAAAACTTGATTAGTGGGATCCTTATTCTTTCGTTTTCATGCCATGTGAGGTGGACTCCTTGATTACGGGCTTCGAGGTTTGCCTGCTAAAGTGTTGACAGGGCATGGCCAGTCTATTACGTTTTATATTCTCGGATTTAGGCTTTAGGCTTTAGGGTTTGGGCTTGAAGGCCTGGGGTAGGTTTAGGGTTCGGGGTTTAAGGTCTTTTTCTCTCGTCTGTGCAGAACCCTGGGCGTATGCCTACGAGGCTCTCAATGACACCTTTCTCCAAATCTTCCCCGTCGGGGTATTTCGTCAAGACAAAGACCCTACAGTGAACCCCATAAAGTTGGAAACCGGATTGAGGCCAAATAATGCTGCTGGAATTCCCTCTACATTACTCGGTCCCACCAGACCATCCCCACTTATGGTTTTTGGGACCTAATCCCAAACGACCATCATTATGGTTTTGGGGGCCCAACTCCATAATAATCATCGTGGTGTATATGATATGGACCCTCTTGGATCCTGCATTCGGTCAGGGCCGCAGACACTCAAGGGTGTGGCACCGCTAAACAAGCCCCAAGCCCCAAACTTAACGTAGGTACATCACCGACGCTTGTAACAGTGACCTTGCGAACTTGTTGCAACAGGGTTTGGGGACGGGTCCTAGGATTTAGGGCTTTATGGTCTTAGGGGTTTAGGGACTTGAAGTTAGGGCTAAAGGGCTTGAGGGCTTGAATGCTACAATGAACGAGGATAAGACCTGTTTGGGTCCATTTTGGGGGGGCCCTTACCTGCTGAAAATCTCAGGTTCTCACTGGCAAGCTTTAAAGACAAGGCATAAATTCGAAAATTAGGGCTACCGTATTATTTTGGGGGTCAATATAATAAGGATCCTACTATTTAGGGTGCTATATTGGAGTCCCCTATTTTCGGAAACCCCCCATAATGAGGCATATGTTATCCTCTCACATAAGAAAGCCTGAAGCCCTTAACTCAAGAAGTGTTGAATCTCTTTGTCTTCAAACCAGTGAAGATAGAAGATTCTCACAACGAGACACCCCCAAAACTCCGAACAGTTAGTTCCAAAGGGTCCAAGGTACCTTTTCGGGAGTTTCCGAAAATTTGGGGTACCTTATTCTGGGTCCTTTTCATAAGGATCCTACAGTTCTGGGTACAATATGAGGGTCCCCATTTTCGGAAACCCCATTAGGCAGAATGTAGGGTTTCTATGTTAGGAATTACTATTAATTATGATTTGGGGGAGTATCGCCCACAACAGTACCTAGGACCCTTAGGAAGGAACACCGGGAGCAATACGAAGAGGACATGAAAACGACGAAAGTGGAAGATGTAGGATTTACAGTTTACAGCCTCAGTTCACTCCGCTTGCCGGCAAGCAGCAAGCTGCGGTGTGTCAACATCGCCGGACCATGAGTAAATCAACAATTCGGGCTGCAGGCCTTTAGTTTTTGAAGTCCCCCCAAGCACGCGGAGCCTAGACTACCTCAAGTCTATAGCCTCTATAAACCACGAGACCATACACACAGGCTAACGGTAACGGTGCCTTTAAAGGGTTCCCGGCACTCCAAAAGCTTTCAGAAAGACGGCCGAGACAAGCTTCATTTACATATCCTAGGCCCTGAACCCTGCTTCTCGTGCCTAATTTTAAAAATCAGAACATCCATCCCTTCTTGAAGATGGGAGGACATGAATAGGCTCAGGTTTGGCGTGGCAAGCGTTTGAGGTTGAAGCGGCAACCTTCTCATTCCCACTCGTCTTCAAATGTCCGTAGGAGACCTTAAAGTAAAAGCCAGAAAGTTGGAATATGATTATCCTAAACCCTTTATGGTAAATTATAGGGTATCCTACCCTGAAACCATATTCCAACTTTCTGGAGTTCCCTTTGTCCAAAACATGAATGCGCTGAACCGCTGAGCCCCCAACTCCCAAATCTGCTTCCCCTACTTGGAGGGTCGGGGGACTTACTAAGTCGTTATTTTAGAGAATCATAAGTACCATAACCCCACCATTAGGGTCCCTTTTAGGGTACTTATAGCAAACTACTTGTTACTGACTTACTAAGTCCCCCGACCCTCCAAGTAGCCTGACAGGAGAAGCCCTGCTACGGAAAGGGCTTGAGCCAGTGAGCAGGGATTGACAGCAGCTTGAAGGTGTCCTGTAAGTACGTCATACCCAGAAAGTTACCACATGACATCTCATCCGGGTACTCAAACCTCGACTGGTTGCATCCTTGACCTATAGATTACTCATGAGGTCCCAAGATCCGCAAAGAAGTAAACAGGTTTCAAACTTTGGGGGCAAGTGGCATCAAGGCTTGACGGTCTGACAGCCTTATGCTTGCAAGATCCTAGGAGGTAGTATATGAAGGCCTTACTTAGGATTATACCAATTTTTTGAGTCTGGTTGCCTGATGCATACCCCTGGTTACAAAGCGCCGTGATTCTTTATTTCGACTCGAAGAATGCTATGGCCTTCTGCTCTTATATAGTTGCCGGTAATAGTACAACCGCGAGGACAACGACGAGCAGGACAAGACCACAGCGACGACAAAGATGATCACTACCACGACTATAAATAGCCTACGTGTTCAAGGACTTAAAAACATTCTCTCAAGGACCCATAAAAACATATATGTTATTATTTGCGGCCCAGATAGACCCTAAATCCTAACCACCATCTCCCCAGCGAGCAGGAAGAGTCGTCATGTTCAGGGGTTTTGGCAGGGTTTACCGGCTGAGGGTGTTTTAAGGCGAGGGTTTAAGGTCTGGGGTTTAACTACTATTTGCTTAAGAAACCACCCCAAAAATAAAAATAATAATCCCTATATTACCCCCATAAGGATTATGTTTTTTATTTTTTGGGGGTTCTTAAGCAAGTAGTAGTTAATATTGTTCGGGCCAACAACCAAAACATCTTGCATGTACTCCTGCCGCAATGCTGCGGCCGGGCGGAGGCCTATGTACACAACTCACAAAGCATTGTGCGGAAGCACATACCCAGAGGGTCCAAGTACCCAAATAGTAGGGTTTTAGGTCCCAAAATCCATGCACTGAATGGTTTTTGGACCTTGAAACCCTACTATTTGGGTACTTGGACCCTTAGGGATAGGAAACACACACGGTGTACGCCCGGGGTGCCGGCAACCCTCGAGCTAACCAAGAAGACCCCTAAACCCTACAAGAAGACGGATCCTCACTCCTGGCCCCTACTTAGACGTAGACCCGGGATTCTAGTGCCTTTTCTCGGGTGATCAACTTGATGCTTCGGATACGGTAGGACGAAAGCAAGGTAACCACAAGCAGGAGGGTCCAAGCAGACTCCCTGAAGCTCTGGACGAGGTCGGCGCCAGCATCCGGGCACGTCCAGCATCGCTCGTGCGTCGCTGCACCTGATGCTAGAGCGGTCGGTTCAGGGATTCGGGAGTAGGGTTCAATGCAGGTGCCATAAGCACATCGACATCGACGGTCCTACATGGGTGCTACAAATTACTACGAAATGCCCAGAGTTTAGGGTTTAGGCTTTAGGGTTTAAAACTAAACACACAGACAGAAACAGACTGACCAGACTGCTAAGGCCTTTGGGGCGTCATAGGCCCCTTCATTTGACGAGAATGTGCGATAAACCTCAATAGAATTCTTCCCCGTGTCCCATAGATTCCAGGAAAAAAAATCGAACGTTTTGGGCTGTCTGGGTCAAACACCAAAAAGTGGGCTCATGTTGAGGATCGAATTACATCGCTAAAGGTCCGAAACGACCTAACAACTAGGGTTCAGGGTTTAGGGGTTTGGGGCTTCGGGTTTAGGGTCCGCAGGACCGTCTGAAATTTAGGGTAGCAGTTTGAGTAACCGTAAACCCTGGAAATCATTGGCAAGACTGAGGCTGACTCCATCTCAATGAACTCAGCTTGCGTCTGCTGACCTCAGCTCGACAGGGCCTCCACTACTGTTGATGGACAAACTCCTGCATGACCTTAAGGATAATGGGTAATGCAGGATTTTGTCCATCAACAGTAATAAGATTCTCAAGATAGGGGCCTCCATGAATAGACTTTTAATATCAACAAGGAACCACGAAAGATCCCAACGTACTCCCGAAAACCCTGAACCCTGAAAACCCTCAAACCGAAAAAGTCCTGAAAGGACGTGGTATAACAAGGAAGCCTCAGAAACACTACTTCTAACTACGCAGGCTTCTTGTCTACAAACCTTTCCTTAAAGATGACATGACCCAGAAAAGTAGGGCCCTATAACTCTTACATTATGAATCCCTATATGGTCCTTGAGCCATAAGCCCTTTTAGGGTTCATTTCGTCCCTAACCCCAAGGGTCCAAGAACCTAATTATCATATACTCTCCAAAATAGTAACCTACATAACTATCTATACTATCCTAAACCCAAGTACCTAATCATTGGGTCCTTCGGACCCTTAGGGTACGGTTCTTGGCCGAATCAGGAGTCTTCCCTGGGGAGCCCTTTCCCTCCGTTCGGGGTCTGAAAGATACTACGTTTGAGGGGTTAGGGTTTACGGTTTGGGGTGTTGGGGTTTAGGGGTTTTTTTTCTTTTTAAGAGTGTGTTGGGCCTTTCTCCACCACACTCGGGGTTTAGGGCTTAGGGTTTTAGGGTTGGGTTTGGGGTTTGGGGTTAGGCGTTGAGTGGTTTGAGGGGTTTTTGGTTCCAGAGCTGCAGGCCCTCTCCCTCAGTTTTGGGGTTCAGGGCTTGTTTTTGTTGAGTGCTTTTACAGGTATATAACCCTAAGGGTCCAAGTACTCAAATAGTAGGGTTTCAAGGTCCAAAAACCATTCAGAGTATGGATTTTGGGACCTGAGACCCTACTATTTGGGTACCTGGACCCTCTGGGTAACAGTTCTAGCCCTCCCTGAGTTGATACTCCAGAAAAACTGCATTACTCATGCAAGAAGCAAGTGGTATCGGGGCTCGAAAAATGATTACCCAAAGGGTCCTAGGTACTGTTATGGGGAATACATCCCCAAATCATAATTGTCATTCCTAATATGGAAACCATATATGCTGTTATATGTGTACCTTGGACGCTGTGGGTTAATGATATGCCTGAAGGATCCCTGCTGGAATTCTAGGGGTGTTGGGGTCTCTGGCTACTCCACACAAACTTAAAATCACTCAGGCCCGTGTCGCTCACAATCCTAAACCCTAGACCCTAAACATCAGCACCTGAAAACCTAAAGTCGCGACAGAAACCTCGAACAACCCTTAACCCCAAACACACCCACAAAGCAACACCACTCAACCCCAAAGCCTAAACCGTAAAGCCTGGACCCTGAACTGTGAACCCTAAACCCCTAAAGCTCCAAAACGAAACCCAAACCCTGAACCCTAACCCCCAAGCCCTACACTAGAACCCTCAAGATGCACTTTTGACAAAAGACCCAACGTAACCGAGGATGACTGGGTTCCGAACGGTGTGACTGGAGCACACGCCACTGATGTTCGGCGCGGCCCACCTGAACGGAACTGACTATCTTTCCGTGAGATCAAGGGTTTAGGACTTAACTTAGGATTCGAGGTTTAGGTGTTAGGACTACTATTTGCTTAAGGACCACCAAAAAATAAAAAATCTATTCCTTATGGGGGTAATATAGGGGTTATTATTTTTTATTTTTTGGGTGTTTCTTAAGCAAATAGTAGAGGACTAAATCCAAAATCCTCAAAGCCTCAACCCTAAACTTCTAAACTCTAACCCCCAAATCGTCAAACCCCTCAATCGCTGCACTGGAAAATCCTCCAACCCCACACCCTAAAACAAACATCCTCAAACTCTAAACCCGGAATCCTTTGAACATCCTCCAACCACCTCAACCCTAAACCCCCAAATTCTACAAATATCAGGCTCTAAACCTCGAAATCCTCATGCCTAAACCCCAGCATCCTCAAGACTACCTACATACACCCTACAAACCCCAAAACACCACCGAAATCCTCAAAACCACCGAAATAAATCACCAAAATTCATCAAAAACCCTAAACCCTAAACCCTAAACCCCTAAACCCTAAACCTTAAACCGCAAAGCCCCACAGACTTCCCCATGCGGGCCTCCGCAGCTTGCAGTGACTCCAGGACGCTCTGCCTGCGACGAAGGCTCGGCTTCCGGGCTTCGGCTTTAGGAATTTTAGGGTTCAACTACTTGGAGGATCATGGGACTTAGTAAGTAAGGTTATAAGTACTTTAATTGGGGTTATAAGTAGTTATAAGTATAGTTACCCTAAGTATTACCCCAGTTACTAAGTCCCATGATCCTTTAAGTGGGGTTTAGGGTTTAGGAATTAAACTAGGGTTTAGGGTTTAAGGTTTAGGAATTAAATGGGGTCTAGGAATTAGGGTTTTAGGCTAAGGACTTAGGGTTTAGGGATTAATTAGGGTTTAGGGTTCAGGGAAAGTTTGGCTTTGTTTGTTAAGCTCCTTTTTGGCGTCTGCCAGCCGGTACGGCAAGGTTTAACGTTTCGAGTTTTGGGGTTCCGGGTTAAGGGTTAGGGCATCAGCGTTTGAGGTTAGGAGTTTCGGGTCAAAGGGTTTCGGCTTTTGTGGTGCCAGGAGCTCGAGTTTATGGGGTTTTAAAACTTAGGATTCGGGGTTGTCTGAGTTTAGTGGTTTAGGGTGACTGTGCGGGGCCCATTTTTAGCGTTCAGGGGTTCCCAAATTGCTGAACACCGTTGTTATCACAACCTCTTACCGATCCATCAAAACTCGGAAAACCTCAAACATAAGGCCCGTAAGGTCTGCAGGACCTAAACCCGACACCGTATACACCCCTATCAGGCCTAAGCCCTTGAACCTGTCAATTTGTATGAAGAAACTTGCCCATTGCCAGGGAGTCATCCCTTTCATCCTGCCAAACCTGGAAATCAACCCGAACTTCCCCTAAGGGTCCATGTTTAAATAGTATATACTTTGGGCCCAATGTACCTATATAGGGAGTACTTTGAGGCCAAAGTATATACTATTTGGGTACATGGACCCTTAGGGTTCTTCCTGATGTCAATGAAATTGGCTTGCTTGCCAGGTTCGTCCAGAAGATTGCGCAGACAGATACCAGCATTCGTTGGAGGGGAGTGGGTGCAGAGTAATTTCATTGCCCGATCGTATCTTCGTCCATGTACGTGCGGTAGCTTCTTGGGTTAATACCCATTTTAGCGGCGTCGTCTGCCACGTGGCGCATCATCTTGGCTGGGATCTATTATGTATATTATATATTAAAAGGCTTCAGCATGGCTGGCGTCAGCAGCTGTGCCCGCAAGGCCCACGCGCGGCATTCTAATAGCTGCTACGCCAGGAAATGCATCTGCAGGGAGAACCGCACGAAAGGACGCACCCAGACGATTCGGCTCAGCTACAGGAAAGGTGACTACATCATCTTCCCTATTCGCCCTGGCAAAGAAAGAATCCGAGGAGGTCCCTTCCTCAAAGATGCGGTTCGATAGAAGGGTCCCTTACTAAAGGCATCCTTGAAGGAACCCCCTAAACGCACTCTAAATCCTGTCCCTGGGGTCCAAACAGCGCACAGTACGCTCTATTTGTAGACTTTAGACCCCGAAGCAGATACTTGTTTGTATACTTGGAGCCCCCTGATAGAATCCCCACTAAAGGAACCCTTAAAGGAACCCCAACATGCCCTAGACCATAAACCCCGAAATCCCTAAACCCCAAAATCTCTAAACCCCGCAATCCCTAAACCCTAAATCCCGAAATCCCTAAACCTTAAACCCCAAAATCCGTAAACCCTAAACCCCGAAATCCCTAAACCACAACATCCCCCAAATCCCTAAACACCTAAAAAAGCCCTAAAAACCCAAACCACGCAAAAACCCTAAACCTTTAAACCCTAAACCCTACCTTAGCCATGAATTATAGCCTACCTTAATTCTTTCAAGGACTTGTATAAAGAAATCATAAGAAGGAGCCCTAAAAACGTAGGCTATTCAGGGTTAAAGTAAATCCTGTTCCCTAAACCCTGAACCCTAAACCTTATACCCTCAACCTTATACGCTAAACCCTGCTACGTCCTAAACCCTAAACCTTATACCCTCAACCTTATACGCTAAACCCTGCTAAGTCCTAAACCCTAAACCATATACCCTAAACCCAAATTCCTAAACCCTAATTAAACCTTATATCCTGAACCCTAAGTCCTAAACCCCAGTTCCTTTGGGGCCTGAGGCTCAGCTGCAGCGCATTGGCCAAGGAGACCTGGCCTCCTTGGAGGCGCACTCCTAACCTCGGCGTTTAGGCTTTGCTTGGAGGGTCGGGGGACTTAGTAGGGCTCCTTAAAGGGATCCATAAGGGGATTAGGGTCGAGGGACTTAGTAAAGTAGGTAGTAAGTAGACTTATAAGAACCCGAAAAGCGACCCTACTTGGGGTTATGGTACTTACAAGTCTCTAAAATAACCAGTTACTACGTCCCCCGACCCTCCAAGTAGGCTTTGGGGTTTACCCAGAGGCTCCATAGTAGTTCCTTTTGGGGGTTCTTTTTGAGAAACCCATAAGGTAACCCCATAAAGGAACTACTATGGAGCCTATGGGTATCATTTAGGGTTTGGGGTCTAGCATTTATAAGGTTTAGGGACTAGCATCTAGGGTTTAGGGTAAAGCGTTTAGGGTTTAGGGGCATTTAGGGTTTAGGGTCTAGCGTTTAGGGTTCTCCATTTAGGTGTTTCCAGAGAGCACATCCAACCAGGTTTAGGGTTTAGGGCCCAGGGTTTAGGGATGAGGGATTACCTGGGGTTAGACTCGTTAGACCTTATAATTAAGGGGTCATGACCTACTACTTTGTACGGTTTGGGGTCACAGGTAAGGTTCAGAGCTCTGGGGCCTTAAGGCAATAGGACATATTCTCGGGGTTGTAGGGTCTAGGGTTTAAGGGGTCTTACAAATTGGAGTAGGGTTGGGGGGGGGCGTTAGATTCTGATCAGTAAAGCAGGGACCTTGATGCATAGAATAAGCTTCGATTTATGAATGGGAACGTACAGGAATAGTATTGTTATCTATTCCGACCCCGATGTTGCAAGAAAAACGGCACCTGGGTTGCTGTAATTCCAGGTACTTTACTCTAAGGGCATGAAGATAAGGATGCTCTATTTCATATCTATCTGTCTATCTATCTGTCTACATATACACATACATATACATAGTACATACCTTGATGCGGAAGTATCTGTCTCCGCCGGGAAGCTCATCTACGGGGGTAGATGGATCACGCTATTGCAACCATATTGGCATATGGGTGGTTGTCAAAATTAGGGTCCCTTTTGGGGTCCATAATATAATACGACACCCATTATTTACGGTACACAAAAAAGGACCATAATTTTGACCACCACCCATATGGGGTTTCAAATATTTAGGCCCCTACACGAGAGCACTTCATGGTGCAACTCGAAGTCCCCAACACTCCTTGTGAAAGAATGATCTTCAAAATGTGGGAATCCAGTCTTTCGGGTTCAGGGCAAAGCCCACACGACCCGCGCTTGGAGTCCGATGCCCCGTAGAAAGGAATAAAGGGTAGGACCTTATCCCATGCAGCTAAAGAATAGGCTCTGAATCATATGTAGCTCGGGCTCCTATAGATTGAAATATCTTCCATACTTTGTGGGTATTGGACTCTTTTGTCAACTGTGCCGCCTCTTTTGGTCCGTCTGCTCACCTTCGTTAAGGTGAAACAGGAGCAGTCGTGCTGGGGTTTCGCTACTGGCAGCCTGGTTGATCGAAATTACGGTAAGGCCTACCTGGAAATCCCAAAGCTGCTGCTCTAATGGGTTAGGGTCTAGCATTGATGGTTTAGGTTTAACCCCTAAATAGCCTATACACTATACCCAAAACTCTAGGACTATGTTGTAGGGTTTGTTGCCACAGGTACGCTTCCTCCCTCACTTCAACGCGAGTGCACCCGACTGCTCGTCAACGAGCGCGTCGTGGTAGAAGTACGAGAACTTACCTCAGAAAAGGTGTAAGGCTTAGGCTTAAGGGGCTCATGTTTTGGGACACTTGCTTGGAGGGTCGGGCGACTTACTAAGTAGCTATTTTCAAGAGAAATAAGTATCATAACCAAAACTAGGTCCCTTTTAGGGTACTTATAACTCTACTTACTACCTACTTACTAAGTCCCCCGACCCTCCAAGTAGGGGCTGTAGGAGCTATAGGAATTTGGGCTAAGGGCCAAGGGCCTGCGGCATAGGCGACTCCCTGATTTCGAGACGCGAACCGCCGATTTGAGCAGGGTTGTGTCTATGGGTAATATAAGGGGCCTTAATGATTAGAATAGGGTTTGGGGGGCCATTATACTATACCTATAATAAGGAACCCCCGAAATCGTCGTGGCTACGATTTAGGCCTCTATTTTATTGGTAGTTCTCTAAGTCAGGATCGGGTCCTTTTTGACAAGGATGCCGCAATATGTTGGAGACCTACAGAGGGATCCTAATTTGGAGATCTACCCATATGGCCTTTTTGGGTATAACTGTTGCTAGCCCAAAACCCAAAGGGAGGCCCCCCACATCTTGGTACAATGAGGAGCGCAGACGGTTCTTGTTAGGGGCCCTGAAACCCAAACCCCATCCCTCAGGGTCCAGGTAGCCAAGTTGTATAGATGTGGCCGTTTTCTGTTATGGGGTTTAAGGTTAGGGGGATCTAGGATTTTCCGAAGTTTAGGTTGCCTTATTTTGGTATATACTTTCAGGCTTTAACATATCGGGGCAAGAGTCTGACCCGTACAAGGTAGATCACGAAAGAGCCCTTTAGCTGAACCCTCAAAGCAACCCCCTAAGGAGGAATCTTCTCGGCGTTGCCGGAAACGGTTCCCTTAAGACTTGTAAGAATATTGATACTGGTGCCTGCTCGTTTTTGCGAAGCTGTCGCCGAGGCGCTCGTCTCTGTCTCTGGTCGCGTTCGATAGCCCAACGGCGATCCGCATTTCCTGCAGCTCCGACAGGCAGTAAACCCCATAAAGTTGGAAACCGGATTTAGGCCAAATAGTGCTGGGATTCCCTATATATTACTCTTCAGGATTGAGGCTGTTGGGGTTCCAACTTTTCGGCTTCTACTGTAAGGTTTTTCGAGTTTGTTCTTTAGGCCAGATCTTCTAATCCTCATGAGACCCTCAATCTACCCTAAGGAACCTGATCCCTAGGTGCCACAGTCGCCACTTAACGTAAAGGTTTTCTGTTCCTGCTATTCAGTCGGAAGAGAGACACGGAAACAAAACAATGCAATGGTAGTAATAGTGCTGGGCGATCGTGGACTAATGCTCCTGTACTTTGGGGACCCTGAAAAGCACCCATAAGGGTTTCATAGCACCTTGCAATTAGGTCCGCTAAGCAACGTTTATCGGCAACCGCATTGGCGCTACGAGGACGTATGAGGTTCAACCTTGTAGTTTTGTGGTTAGTATCTGGAAGACGCTTCGAGGAACTTGAAGAATGTGTCTCCCAGACCAGTGAAAAGCCAATATACCTTCAACACTGTATCACCCCAAGGGTCCAAGTACCTAATAATCATTTACTCTCCAAACTCCTAACCTACATAACTACTATCCTAGAACCGAGCACCTAATTATTGGGTCCTTTGGACCCTTAGGGGGGTCAAGGACCATTGGAGGCGGTTCCATGTTCACGGGGGCAGTCGGCTCGCGGGGGGAGTCTGAAATTACCGGCACGTCAGTGTCAGGGTTGAGAGCTTACCCAAAGGCCCCTTAGTAGTTCCTTTTGGGGTTGGTATTTAAGATTCTATTTGGGAGCTACTATGGGCCTATGGGTATGGAATTCGGAAGTACAGCTTGAGGCTTGAAGATTTACGCAGTCCAGGGTTTAAAGAGGAAGGCTTTAGGGCAAGGGGAGTGGACTCAGGCACAAGGTTCATCAGCCTTTTAGGAAAAGAGTCCCAGGCACTGTTATGGGGCGCTGCACTGAAAGCAGTAGGTATGAGAGCCCTAGGAGGCGAGCGGATGGTCAAAAATCCTCAGCCACCAAACTCTGTGCAGAACCCCCTCTGCTATAACAACATGAGCCCGCTCTGTTGAGGACTTGCGGAGTTTCTGTGATAGGAAGTCAGTGGAGAATCTTACTATGATCGATCTCTGAATTTTTTGAAGAGCAACTAAGACAAAGAGAGAGAGAGAGAGAGAGAGAGAGAGCAGCAGCAGCAAAGAGAGGACGGGCAGAACAAGACCCAAAGGCAGCTACTCATCAACAAAAGTCTCCGAAGACCCCTGAGGCCATGATCGATTGGGAAATGCCATTGCCTGCAGTAGAACCGGTACTGCTTCTCCACGCCGTTGGGTCTCTTGAGGAGTATCCTGCATCAGCTCAGCCCGTAGCCCTAGCCATAAGTCCAAAACCGTGAACCCCGAACCCAGAACACTAAACCCCGAAACAAGAACATAAAGTCGAGCCTAAACCCTTCCCTAAGGAGCTGAATCTCGGGGCCTTCGAAACAACGACTTTGGAGACCCCGACAGAAGTGCTCAGGAGATTATGGACCCTGCCAGGGAGATACCAGGACCCCAGGGTACACCCGCAACCCCTCGCAGTTGAAACCTTGCGATTTCAAACTTCGGAACGAGAGATCAGAGCGGGTCTTAATCTTAGAGTTCTGGGCAATGCACATTGGATGATTTAATTCCGTCTTTAGGCATCAGTGTGACTTAGGGGCTCAAGGTTTCAGGGCTTGGTTACGGCTTTGGGCCAGTTGTCTATCATTCTATGCCCGGCCCGTGCATTTCTGAGGCATGTTTTTAACCAAAGTCCGGGTGAGAAGAAGAGTGCAGCAAGAAACCTGAAGATAAGGGCCTGGCGTGCAGCGGGAGGCATAGTCCTAAACCCCTAAGCCCGAACTAAAGCCAGGCGTGCATTGTTAGCCATCGCCATAATGAGAAGCCTACAAGCTATCTAGGGTCTGTAATATTAAGGACAGTTACTTTCTGAAGCTCCCATGTCTGAAACGGATGTTCGTTCGAACTCATGCTTAAGGTTTCGAGTTCATGGTGTTGGTGTACCGCGTTGTCCTGGTCCTCCCCAGCAACCTCTTAAAATCAAGGTTCCCTAGTTTCCGGTATTCAGTCTGCAGACGGAGACGCCAGAATCATGGGGCATCAGGGCACCACAGGGATAGATAGAAACAACATCTTCTAGACGGGTTCTGGACTCAAGACCCCAATCCAGTCTGCGAAAAGGCAGTTCGACCTGTAGAATACGTACCACACCGTCCTCAAGCTGAACCCTGAA